TCTGCCTCAGGAGTCTGAAACCAGAGAAGAAAAAAATTCTAATCAATGGGAAAATGAGAAGGGTCAAAATGCAAGAAGCCTTTGTGTGGTGGAATCTTCCTTATCTATCAAATGCATAGAAAGAAGGGAGAAAGGGAATGTGTTAACCTAACCTTGCTAGAACCCCCAAGTGACACTAACTCTGTTGTAATCAAAGTAGGAGGAGGATGCTGTTGGAGTATACTGTAAAGCAAACTTTTACGTGAGCTTTTGGATTGTATTATTCGATTTCCCATTTGACTGAAATAAATGTTTTTCACATTGTTGCATTCTTTATGATTGCTTGTATGCTAAATGTCCAATTATCTTATATTGTAGACAATGTGGTGTGTTAGTAGTCACACAGAAGATTGCATTGTCGGTTCCTTATAAGATATAAATGGTATTCACAACTGAGATAGTTATGGACATGACTATCGGTGTAGGTTGTAGTATAAACTGGATGTAGCTTGTCTTGGCTATTGGTTTATACTAGTGCGCTGCGTCGCATTGAAAGGATCACAGTTGAGACGTGTTCTTATGTTCTGACTATCATGAAGAACCTAGGTCTCGGTGACTCTACTAATTCTTAACCCTAATTGTGGTAATTAGATATATGGGATATTTGTTTGTTACTTTGACTTACCATGGGTGAGGACCAAGTATTGGTTCAATAGCTCCGTATCTTGGGTAACAACACTATCTGCATGATATCTATTTATTGGCATTAGGGCACCGTGTCCTGGACATCCAGGTTGGTGACGTCCCCTTAAGGAACTCATAAGGATTATCGTATAAACCCTGCAGGTGGATTTAATCCGTACGATAATAAGGTTGAGTGGTACTACTTAAGGATTAAAAGATATTAATTAATTAAAGCAGTCAGAAGCTTTAATAATTAATGGACGTGCGATATCTTAAACACGGGGAATTATATCGAGTCTAATAGAAGCCCTGATTCATTTCGGGATAGGACGGGAGTACAATATTAATTCTCTAGTGGAATGAATTAATATTTACGGGCTAAATTGTGTTCTGGGCTGAACATAAGAATTTGGGCCTGTAGGGAGCCCAAACCCTATACCTTCTAAGAGATCCCTAGGCTGGCCCAAGGACCTCTATAAAAGGAGGGATTGCACGTCTTCAACCCTAACACACATCACAAAACGTGAGCAGCCACCATAGTGGAGAAGTGACGTGAAGGGTTCAGATAAGACGAGATACAATCCGCTCTTTTCAACCGTTTGGTAGATCGTCGTCCATCCGGCGTCCAAACGTGGTCGGGACACAGACTAGAAGATCGCTCAGATCGAATCAAAGCCTCGTAGAAAGGTAAACTTTCTGTTCGTCCTTTAGGAGCATGCTTAGGGTTTAATCGAGATCATGTATGTACATGTTTGGCATCCGATATCGATCCTTGGAAAGGACCGCCTCGTCGGCGTGTTCCAGCAGATGCAGCATGGAGGTAGAGGAGACTGAGGGACTATAGAAGAGAGATTTTTTTTTCTGAAACCAGCACCTCAGCAGATGAGGACTTGGAAAGTTGTTGCAAAAGAAGACAAATTAGCAAGAAAGAAAGAAACAATAAGTAAGCAAAGGGCTCTGAAAGGAAACAAAAGAGGTACGGGTACTGACATTAACCAGCTTGAGGCCAACCAAAGCCAGGATCAGGCATTCTCTCCCAATAGTAGTAAGAAGCTCAAGCCAATTGATGAAGAAGTGGAGGCAGTCATCTATAAGTGGCTCCACAGTGATAAATGTTAGCTATGGTATGGAACTGTAGAGGGTTGGAACTGTAGAGGTCTGGGTGGACCCTCTACAGTTCCCCAGATCAGAGAGGCTTTATGTTCTCACCATCCATCATTTATGTTCTTGTCAGAAACAAAAAAAAGAAAAAAAGAAAAGCTCACTGTAAATATGTGTAAGAACCTAGGTTTTGAAGATAGATTCAAACTGGCGGAACCTTTAGGAACTACATGAGAGTGGTTGTTATGTTGGGACCGTAAAGTTGAGATTCTTCAGTTAATAGAGTCTGACTTCTGTATTTAGGTAGAGTTTAAGTTGTAGCATGAATCTGAAGCTAGTTGGATCATCTTTGTCTATATGAGCACTAACAGTATGAGCAGAGAGTGGTAGTGGAGAAGTTTGGAAAGAGATAAAGTGGCTTGGGGTGATTGCTGGTGTATTATCGGTGACTAGAATGATATAAGCAATGAGAAGGAGAAGAAAAGGGTAGGTCCAGAACACTACAGAGTTTGTATGCCCTTAATAACTTTATTTCAAACATGGGGATGGCTGAAGTCAAGATGAAAGGCTACCAATTTACTTGGTGCAACAATAAGATTAATGAAGGGCTGGTGGAAGAAAAACGGGACAAATCCTATGGGTCCTATGTGTGGATGCTAATTAAGATGATTAGATTGGCTCTTTCTAATTGGAGTACTAGCTTCAGATCCGACAACAAAAGAAGCATAAAGGTCCTCACTCTGAAATTAGAGAAGTTGAGAATCCTAGGGGATGGTAAGAATTGGGAAGAATGTGAGTCTATAAAAAAAGAGCTGGAGAAGGCTCATTTCTCTGAAGAGCTCTATCGGCAATAGAAATCTAAACTACAATGGCTCAAAGTAGAAGACCAAAACTCAAGATTTTTCATGTTGTCACTATGCAGAGGAGAAAGAAGAATGTCATCACCAGACTCTTTGATGAAGGAAATAGAGTTTGTGAGTCTAGAGAAGATTTGGGAAACCTTATTTGTTCCTATTACAATAAGTTGTTCACATCAGAAGGGTCTGTGGGAGAAGACAGAATTCTGCATATGATTCCTCAGTCGATTACACCTAAGATGAATGTTGAGCTGGTTGCTAATGTGGAGGAAGAGGAAATAAGAAAGATTTTTTTTTCTTATGAATTCATTGAAGGCACCTGGTGAAGAAGGTATGACTGTTCTATTTTATCAGCATTTATAAAATGCTATCCCTTTATCTATTCCTAATTGTTACAGAAGCCCTGTCTTCTTTGATCAGTTCTGCGGCTTCTTATGGTCAGTTTAGAGGGTTGAGACTTGCTAGAGGTGGGCCTATGCTTACACATTTGCTATTTGCTGATGACTCACAGGTTTTCTGCAAAGCTGATAACAGTCAAGCACTCATTCTGAACTTGAAGACTTATGAGCTCTTTTCTGGCCAGAAGGTAAACTTGACTAAATCCACTGTGAATTTTAGTAAGAATACCGATTGCTCTATCAAGTCTAGAATCTGTGTTTTATTAGCTGGGTTGATTTCCCATACCTCTACCAGATATCTGGGGCTTCCTCTGGGTATTGGGAAGTAAAAAAGAGAAGCTTTTGACTTTGTTATCCAAGCTGTCCGAAGCAGATTGGTCAATTGTAAGAATAAGTTTTTATCAACTGCTAGAAAAGAAGTGCTAATTAAAGTTATAATCAATTCCCTCTATGTGTTTGCTATGTCTTGTTTCAAGTTGACTGCAGGGATTTGCAAAGAGATTACCAAGCTCACTGACCAGTTCTGCTGGACTAAAGGGGAAGACCAATCAAGAGGTATCAATTGGAAGAGCTGGAACCTGTTGTCAGTGCCTAAAAAGCAAGGAGGATTGGGATTCCAGAATATAAAGCTATTTAATGAGGCACTTATTCTCAAACAACTATGGAGGATTACCACACATCCTGATCTTCTGGTCAACCAAGTTCTTAAAAGCAAATACTTCCGTAACTTCTCCTTATTTGAAGGTAAAATGAAGGCCTCCTCTTCTTGGATGTGGAATAATTGGCTTGAGGCTTTACCTACCTTCAAGAAATGAAAGGTCTCTGGAAAGAGGTCAAATCAGGGAAAAGTACCAGAATCCAAGATGAAGGTTGAGTGCCTAAGTTAGGTCTCCTGGCTCCAAGATTGATCAATAATGCAGATTCTCTAAGGTGGGTCAGTGATTTGATTGAAGAAGCAGGGTGGAGGTGGGATGAAGCTATTTTGAGGAATTCATTTTCAGAAGTTGACTGCAATGCAATCCCGAATATCAACACTCTTAATCCAGGTTGAGAGGACAAATGGAAGTGGGCTTTGAGTAAAAGAGAAGAGTTAAGTGTAGCAGACTCCTACCACTTCTTACTAACTAAGATGCTTCTCAGGTCTCCCCATAAGTATAAACTTAAATGAAGGGGCTTGTTATTGATGTCATCTGCAGATCATGTGGGAAGGCGGAGGAAACCATTGAGCATCTACTTTTAAACTGCAATAAAGCAAGAAAGGTTTGGAATTTGGATCCAATTAAGTGAGATGACATCCAACGAAGAGAGTAACTTCAAGTTGTGGTGGTGGCAGGTCTTTGTAATTGATAAGTGAGAAACTGATGTAGGGAAGCGCAAACCTTTGAGGCCAGAATTCAACTCTCAACCTATATCCTGTGGTGGTTGTGGAGATCAAGGAACCTTTGGCTCTTCAGTGGGAATTCTTACCTGAGACAGTGATAATCAGCAGAGGACGGTCAGAGTGGAGGGAGTTCTGCTCCTTGACCTAGACTGTTGCACAACTGTTTTCAACCTCCCTCTTAGTCCAAACTGGAGTTTGGTTGCTGCTCTTTTGTGTTTCTTTTTTTCTCAGTTTGCTTTGTTTTCTTGTTCTGGTTGTTAAGGTGTTTAGTTGGTTAGATGGTTGTTTCTTGTTGTTTTCTTGTTGGTGTTTGGCTTTGTAGGGCTCTTGTTAGGGGAGAGACTGTAAGTTTTCAGGTTTGGTAACCTGCTTATAGTGTTCGGGTGTTGTTGGTTGGTTTTAGGCCTCTTTAATAGTGGTTCTCCCAGTGTTTCCTCTACCCTTTGGTAGGTTGTGACGACCTGTACTTTAAACTTTTTGTTCCATTTTATTTGAGCTCTCTATCGTTTGAAAATTTTTTTATATAAATATGAATTTGATGGTTTAAAGATATGTAACCAATAAATTCGTCCTCGAGAATATTAGTCAATTAAGGAAAGCAAAAAGGAAAAAGAAAAAGAAAAGATGATATTGGGGGCACAAACTCACATTTGTTTCGGCACAAAGTCCTCTCCCAAATCACACAAATCGAGTAAAAAATGGGCATCTCTCTCAGCAACACCGCCCGCCGGCGAGCCCCGACTCACCCTTACGTCCACCACCACCACCACACGGTGATGAACTACTACGGCTCATATCCTGCGAACCCTTCCCCTTATCCTGCGCACCCCGCTTCTTCTCCCCTCGCGTATTACCCCACGTACCACACTTCTAATGCTTACACTGTCTGCAATAACCCTAACCCGCTTGTCGGCCAGCCCTATTTCGGCGGTCCTTTTGAGCTGCAGCAGGCGCTGCCGCAGCCTCGAGATGCAGCGGCGGTGCTGCCGCCCTGCGGCGAGCAGAAGGCGGCGAAAGTTGTGAATAGCGACGTGAACGTGCATAAAGATACCTTGAGGCTCGAGGTTGATGAGCTGAACCCGGATCAATGCCTGGTTTCGTTTATTTTTGATGCTTTGGTAGACGGGAGGTACGGTTACTGATTGGATTTTATTTATTTGTTGATTTGTTTTGTTCCCTCTTTTGCAAATCTCTCTGTGTTTTGTTAACTATTCAATTGTGTAGTTTTGATCCTATCATACGTGCTTTCTTCTCTGCAGTTTAGTTGTTAGTTTCAGGCTCAAATGAATGTGGCTTGGGTAACTTTGGTTGACTATCCTTGTGCAAAGTGGAATTTTATATGTATGTATGGTTGATCTCTTGTACTGTAGATTGTACGCCAAATTCTAGTGCATCTGAGACAATCAGGCAACTTTCCCAGAGGAAATTTTCAATATGCAAACAACTTTGGGGAAAGCTATTCACTAGTAGACTGTCTGTTTAGTTGAGCAATTTCCATTTGGCAGAGGTCTCTGGATAGGCCCTTGAATAACCGTTCATGTTGGATGATTTACATTGCTTGTGAATAGAATATTAGAAGACAAAACCGTAACGTACTTTTCTCTTCTCATCATGTCTTCATGACTCTTTGCTGCCACCTATATGGTTTGAGTCGAGATGGCTTTGTCATTAATCATGTATATTATTCCCTAGAACTGCACTACTTAGAGGTGAAGGCATCATTTAAATCTATATTATAATTTAATGAACTAAAGCCTTCTTGTCAAACATGTCTTCTGTTCTGAGTGGAAAATGATGATTATTTAGTCTGGTCTGGGGTATGCAGACAATGCACCTTATCGACTAGAACTTAGCAGGTCTTGAGTTTATAAGTAAAGATGTTATGTAAATCAGTATTTGGCTTTGTACTCACTCTGAAAAATGGGTAGCATGATTCCGATATGTACATAAGCAAGTATCAATGGGCTTCACGAAGAAATTGGCACCTTAATCCCAGTGTTAGGGGGTTTGTTATTAGGGTATCGGTTTTATTTTGTATTGAGAAAGGACACATCCTTGAATTTGATTATTGCTGTTTAGTTACTTGTCAATGCTTTCATGATATCTACTTAGGAAGTGACAATAGGGGCAATAGGGGGTTGGCTTGTGATTTTTGACATTGGTTGTATTCTCTGTTATTAAGAATCATGAATCAGAAAGTATGAAGCTCGGAGGGACCAGTAATTATGTTCCCTCGATAAATACTGTCGTATTAAGACTCTGCATTTCATCTTGTACTTAGTTACATATCCTTATTGTGTTTGATGAATTAGTCTTCATTTGCTTATTAAAACTTTTGAGTTTAACTAGGTTGGATAGTGAGTTACCCTGACGGTATTTCTTTATGACAAGGGTAGTTGATTTTGAGCTGGTATATTTGGAATAGCTTGAAAGCTTGTCCTATATGATTAGTTAGTCGTGGGTGGGAATATTATAACCAGCTTGCTACTGTTGAATTCTGCATTAGCTCTTGTGGCATCTCTTAGAAATTTCTACTAATAGACCGTGCTCTTCAACTTGATACCTTGGACCATGTAAACTTTGATCCATTATTCTCTAGTTTTTGCTGGCTTTGTTTTGCCTTATCCATGTGGTCGTTTTAACTTTTGACTTTTAAGAGTGTCAATATGATTTACCCTTTACCGCATAGAAGTTATGCAGCAGTCAGTGGTGCATTTGAAGTACTTCTAGTTCTGGCTAGTTCATCAGTAGCTGTACAAATTTGACATGTAGCTGCAACTTACTTAAAAGTTGAAATTATACAGTGCCATAGCTGAAATTACCAAGGATTTGAACTTGAGTTTACGCAACAATAAGAACACAAAATATTTGGTGGAAAGTCAAATGTAAACCAACGAACTAAATTCACTTTTGATTGACACAGTTCACTCCAACTTCCATTAAATATTTTGCCCTGTTAAAGCATCTCATATATCTGAGGCATTATTTGATGGTGTGTGTTTTCTTTTATTTATTTATTTATTTATTTTTGGTCGGGGAAGATTTCCAGATTTTGTTTCTTGACTTTTTCATAAAGTGTTCATGTCACGAGAGAGATGCAACATTGATTTTTACATTATATATAGAAGGAAATAGTTCTAGTTGTCGCATGAATTCTAGTTGTCACATGTATTCTCCATACATTTGCTCTGTAAAATTTGCTGTCGCTTATATTGGAGAAGGATAGTGATATAAGGCCATCATGCTTCCACTTTTATATTCTGAAGCTTAAATTTTTGAATTGCATTTCAATTCTTGTTTGTAAATAAGAAATCGCCAAGCCCATTTGCGTTGTCGACCAAATTGTTTTTGTTATCTTGGCACATTTGTTTCCCTCTTACGGACTTACCTACCATAAGTGAAAGACTGTTTCTTTTCTGTCAATGCTCATTAAAGCCAGTCTCTTTAACTTTGTCCAATTTTTACATATTCCAACTAGCCATATCCTTAAGTCTGGTCATATGGCTCTTATGTGATGTTTCTCACTATCCCCTTGTGATAATGAACCTTCTATAAACTGCCCATTTATGATTTGACTTGATTTGTTTCTTTTATATCCGATTATGGTAGTCACCATGTTATTCAAAGCCAAGTACTATTATTTAATTTTTAATGTGACGGTTTAAAACGGGACCTATCCCCTAGAGCTTGCTAATATTTTGTTATTAACCATAGACCAATGTATATTATTTTTAGTTGATGTAAGAGGTCTTCTAATCGACATGTTTTTATCTTATTTACAGCATCACGATCTGTTATTTTGCGAAGGAAGAACCCCAGCGCCAATTTGTTTCGTTATTTCCCGAAACTTATGTCCCCATAAAAGTTCCTTTCAGGAAGGGCCTTCGCCAGGAATTTAGACAGCCGTTAGGAACAGGCATCGACCTGCGTTTTTTCTCCTTGTACGATCTTTCGAATCCATCATCCAGAGACGATGTGTTTCCCATAGTAATATCTGCTGACACGTGCCTTAGCCCGTATATGTTTGACGACAGAAACTATGTTCTGGCACATACATCACCTCAGATGCAGATAACTCAGGTGGCTGTGATGAAAAATAATGATGGACAATTTGCTGCTAAGGTAATCAGACAGCTATTATGGAGTGATGATACCTGTTACGAACTGCGGGATATATATGGGCTGGGAAAATCGGGCCAGGGCTGTAGTGACAGTGGGTCAGGGAAAGACTGCGTGATTTGCTTGACTGAGCCAAAGGATACAGCTTTGCTTCCTTGCAGACATATGGTAAGAGAACACTCATTTTTATTTATGTAACTTTGATCAGATAGTACGGATACTTTTGTGGTCTGTCAAACAGTAAAATGTTTTGTCAACTGCAATGCATGTTTTTCTTTTCGTAGAACTCCATTATATTCTTGATTGGTGTGATGCATGTTTCTAAGGCTTGTCCTATTACTGCAATGGACATATTATTTA